GTGTACCCCCAGCCTGCTTGCTGGTGGGGTGGTGTGAGAAGCAGAAAAGGCCTTGACTCTGTGTAAAACATCCCTCTGTTATCAACACTGTTTTCAGCACAAATCCAAAACATAGCCCCATACTAGCTACTGTGAACAAAATCAACTCTATCCCAGCCAAAACCAGCACAAATGTGAAGCTGGAGATTGAGAGAAGGGTGGACCATTCCCTCTGGTGACAGTGCACCCACCTGAATTTCTATATCCATGTGTGTGTCTATGTGTAAGGCAGGTGCTTAATCTGCTGTCATATACAATGACAAGATAGTCAATGCAGTTATGGGAGACTAGAGAGTGATTTTGCTAAGTGAATGCAGGTGCCTACTGTGAGATGAACCAGGCAGCCATCTAGACCCCACCTGACCAGACCTCATTGTCTGCCAGAGGAGCGTAGATGCCTACTGTGCATGTAGACACCCATGCATTGGCCACAAAAGGCACATATGTCTGAATCTTCAGCTAAATTCCACCCTGGTTTCTCTCTGCTTTCAGGGCCTGGTCCAGGCAGCATTTTCTGAGCATCTCTCACACATGTTGAGATCACAGGATTAAACCCCCAACCCAGAGGTCACAGCCGTAGAGGTCACGTACAAGCATGAGTGCTGCCACCCCATTTTACTAGGAGTCCTGCATCTAGAGCATGCACTGCAGAAACCAGAATTAGGCACCTCACGGTGGTGTTTGACTCCATCACGCATCATTAAACATAAAACAGCCTTGAAGGCATTCAAGAGGCACAGGAGAGAGCAGGTCAGTGGGAATTTGACTTTTTTTTTGGCTAAAGTGCCACAGAAGGCATCTCTGGGATCTTGTTTCCTTGGTGGGTGTGGTGGGTTGGCCTTGGCCAGCAGCCAGACCCCCACCCAGCCACTCACTCACTCCCGCTCCTCTACAGGACAGGGAGAGAAAATCAGATGAAAAATCTTGTGGGTCAAGACAAATATAGAGAGATTACCTACCAATTACTGTCACAGGCAAAACAGATTCAACTTTGGGAAAATGAATGTAATTTATTAACAATTAAAACAGATTTGGATATCTGCCCAAGGTCTCCAGGGTGGCAGTTGCAAGCCCACAGTCCCAGAACATCTCTGGGGCACTCAGGAGATAAGGCATTTCATGGCTGTGCTGCTGTAGCATCACTCCTGTGTGTCCTGGGTATTGCAGCTATGTCTTCATGGCTGTGCAGGTACATCTGGAAAAGAGGCTGTGGGAATTACCCACTTCTGTGTTTGTGCTATTTTAGTCCTCTCCCTTGATGACAAAGAAATTGGACACTGGCACCTGGTTGTGAGTCTGCGGGTCTCCAACGGCCTGGCTTGATGTTACTGATGCTACTAGGTATCTTCACCTTCATCTAAATGATTTTGGTTACAGATCCCTCATTTTGCCACACTGTCAGTATGCTCAGATCAGATGGTCTTGTGGCAATTGCTAACAGCAAACTACCTGGCAGCGTTTGAAAGCACGTGGGGTGAGATTCGTTTCACTAGATGTTAGATGTCCACAGTGCAAACGTCTATAACCGTTACAGGCTGTGGGTAGGGAGGGATGGGGAACTTCTGAGTGCAATACACCAGGCCTGTTTTAGCCGGCTGGTTCAGGAGGAGATGATTCGTGCCCTAAAAGTGCCTATTTCTCTCCACTGACTGTGAAGGGAGCCAAGGGTGCTTTGCTCCATTGTAGGTGTCTACCAGAGACTTCTGCAGGAGTAGGCTCAAGCTTGGTGTTAGGGCTTTTTGTGATCTCCAGTTGCTGCAGCCAGTTTGGGCCATACAGTTAATGCCAGCTCAGTGAAAGAATGCTGCCTCCAGTCCTGCATCCCTGCTCCCCCTCCTCACCTCTGCCCTCTGAGCCAGGAAAAGGCAGGCAGGAGGGGGCAGCTCTCTGCAATGGAGAGGCTGTGTGGCCACGCAATTTTGTCCGCCCCACATGACACAGGGCTGATGCCACACCATGCTTGGCAAATAAATGAATTGATAGGTCTGCATTAATTTCTGAAGTATGTTAGTAAAAATCTCAGTTACATTAATCAAAAAATAAAAGAAAAAAGCTAGGACATACACAGAGGAATAGCATCGACGGAGCAAACATTCGATTCAAGGGGCCCTGCCCAGGAGCTAAGCCTTGGGCTCCCCTCTCCACTCATCTGCACTTTGGATGATGTGTGGTCTTATCAGATGGAGCTTGGGGATTTCCCTCACCTAATTTTAGGCATCTAAAAGTTAAAGGAGGCTGGGCTGCTGCCCCTTGCCCTTACAGGCAAAGGGGAGATCAGGAGCTTCAGTGATTCACCTGAGCTGTCCCCACTGCCTGTCTCCAAGCCAAGATGAGCAGCTCTCAGAAGAGGTCCTTATCTTTCCACTAACCAGAGAGTCCCTGCAAAGTGACTGGCTGAGATTTAAATACTGAGTGGATGAATCCCACATTTTACTGGCAGCATGTAGGACCCCAGACACCAACGAGACCGTAGCTGCTTGCTGCTGAAAGCTGCTCTGAGAATGGGAACAGGTGACTTTATTTCCCCCCCCAGTTCAAGACTGCCTCACATTGGGGTGGCCTGAACTCCTGGTTAGGCAGTGATGAGCATCGACCCAGCCGTAGAAGCACACAGGCTCTGTTGCAGGCAACAGTGTGAATTCGGCACCTCAAGCCAACGCGATGAACTGCCCTACGGCTGTGGTTACCTCCTGCCAGCCTCCCACAGGAGAGCCTAGGGACCTGCTGTGGAGGTCTTGCAGTACGTATCCCAGGCTTTCGAACTAGAGGACAAAGAATCAGCTTATGAGACTGCCCTGCTTTTTTGACAGAGAGCCTTTCCCTCCCCGTGTTCAGAGTTATGACTAATTACTTCACATGCGGGCTTGCTGCTCTGCATCACTGATGATTAGCCGGCAGGGAGGCTCCCAGCCTTCCTTCTCAGCACCCACCCTTCAGCCCCAACTTCAGCCCTAAATTTAACCAAGACGACCCTCTTAGTTCATTAGATGCATCATGATTTTTACTACCAGGTTTAGATGAGTCGCCAGAGACACTCACCTATTTTCCTGACCATAAAAGCTGTATCACAGGTGTTGCTTCTCAGTTGAGTCTTGCATCAGCCTGATTTCAATTCTCTGCAAGTACAGTCTCTGAAGCTCTCTGCCCACCACAAATCTTCACGCAGCGGCTTTTATGAAGCCCCTGCTAAAACTCAGACTGTGTGTGCGTGAAAACTTGGTCAGGCTCTGCCACTCTTGCTACGCGGGCTTGAGAAAGCTGGAAGTTGGGGGAGAAAGGGAATTCCTGTCAGTTAAGGGAGATGCAGGGAGGGATACTGTTTTCTACTTACATTTTGAGACACAAAGTCTAATAAGGCCTTGTTTATGTCTAAGAAGGCTTTATATTTTCTTTGTGAGTCATCTTCTATATATATGTACCATACTAATTAGACATATAATTGAAGAATTCATGATAAAAACCAAAAGCTTTGTCATGTGCAAATTTCTAGATTCTTGATTTGTACAAAATGCAAAATTATATACTCCAAGGGAGTAGCAGTTCTTCCTTTTGGAAAAGCTCAAGCCAGTATTAAAACTCCAGTGTAAGTGTTATCTCTGTTGTAAACATTTTTTTGAACACAGGAAGAAATGGTCACGCTTAGTTTGTTTCATTCAATGCTATTCTATACCTGATTTCAGCAGAGGGATTTGAGATCTGCTTTTAACCTGAAACCTTGAGGGGAGGGAATTTCAAAGCTCTATATGATTTTTTCCAGGCCTTTGTCACTTCTAGAAGGAGGCAAAATATGTAGCTCTATTGGGTCTGGCTGACATGGAGTTAATTTTCCCCACAGCAGCCCTCATAGTGCTGTGCTTTGTATCGGTAGCTAGAAAGGTGTTGATAACACACCGGTATTTTGGCTACCGCTGAGCAGTGCTGGCACAGCATCAAGGCTGTCTCTGCAACATTTCCCCCCTCACCAGTCAGCTGGGGGTGGGCAAGATCTTGGGAGGGGACATAGCCAGGACAGCTGACCCAAACTGACCAAAGGGATATTCCATACCGTATGATGTCTGCTCAGCAATAAAACCTAAGAGAAAGGAGGAGGAGGGGGGGCATGCGTTATTAAGTTTGTCTTCCAGAGCAACCGCTACGCATACTGAAGCCCTGCTTCCCAGGAAGTGGCTGGATATTGCCTGCTGATGGGAACTAGAGAATAAATCTGTTTTCTTTGCTTCTGCACGTGGCCTTTGCTTTTGCTTTATTAAACTGCCTTTATCTTGACCCATGAGCTTTTTTCCATCTTATTCCACCCCCTTCCCCCCCCGTCCTGCTGAGGAGGGGAGTGATAGAGCGGCTTGGTGGGCACCTGGAGTCCAGCCAAGGTCAACCCACACAGTAGCACAGACAATCTAAACATAATCAACATCTATTCTTTCTCTGTTTTATGCACAAATATAAACCTAGCCTTTCTCTTGGTGTATAAATACACGTACAAAAATGCAAGTTACTGTAATAAGGCTAGTAAGGCTGCCTTAACAAGGGATAAACGTATAAGCACATACCTATGCAGCTTGACTCAAATCAACGTCTCAGCCAGATCAGAAAGCAAAATGCTTGGGTGGCTGCTGACGCAAAGGTATTTGCACAGCATGAACACTTCAGTTGATGGACATAGTTTCATTTGCTTCACTAAAATTACACCGCTTCCCACCAGTGAAGGATGGGGCTGAAAGAGCTCAGACCAGGTAGTTAAAAGCGAAGGCCAGCTCTGTCACACAGCCCTCCCTCCCGCCCTGCAACCCGTCATTAAAATCTCTAGAGCTAAACCTCCAGTGAGGTATCGCCAGAGATGAAGGATGGGTGAGACTAAAAGTAGCATCGTTCACGCTCCTCCCCACTGCGTTTCTCTGCACAAAACACTTCTGTTGACCTGTAAAGACCGCTACGCTCTGAAGCATGAAATCCGTGAACAGATCTCTCCGACACATCACAAAACCTTTATTAGTGTTTATCAGTGACACAGATTACAGGAACCAAAGGCAATTAAATAACATTTAAGTTGACCACAGACTCAAGAAATACAAGTCACATTTGGCAAGGCAAACTTCTCAGTACACTGGGTTGCTTAGGTTATTATTACACCGTGAAAGAGGAATTTCCCTTACGAGGTTCTACATATTCAGGATATTAGGATTAATTATTATTATTGTGTCTTTCAGACAGTTCCTTTGGCAAGAATTCCCATTTTTTAAGCTTTTATTATATAAAAATATAACCAATTTTCATTATGTACAAACATTACATTACACAATGTACAGGTTAAAAACACTACAAAAAATGGCAGGCCATGGGTGAACCAAAAGCAAAAAAAACCAATGTAGAAAACATGAAAAAAAAAATTAAATACTGCACATTTCATAAAAATTACATTAACTACAAACAATTTTTTTTTGTTTGCAAATATCAAACAGTACTGACGTGATTGGAAATCTTTCCCAACAACTTCATTTTTAAGGCACATCTTGCATATTTACATGTATGACACCGGATCTGGTCAATAACTTAAAGGCTCTCGGGAGTGACCTAATCGTGTGCGCGCAGGGACGTGTGTACTCAGGTGGGGAGCGTGTTGGGCTACACTTTCTCAGCTGTGTCAGTCTGGGGGCCCAGGTATCTAGTCGAGGGGGCTGGGTAGAGGGGCACCCCAATCTCCTGAAGGTCGGGGAGCCGTGCAGGGCGCGGCGGGGAGAGCAGCGTGATCGTCCGGTCAAAGTCCCTGTGCAGCACTTTCTCGTAGACGCTCTGAAGCCCCACTGTTTTGGGCAGCTGGGCTTGATAAAAGTTGTCCCTGCGAAGGGGATCCCTGGGCAAGGATGTGCTCTTGCAGAAGGTAGAGAGGGGTGCCGAAGGATGGGGAGAGGGGTGAGGGTTGGCTCGGCCGCAGGAGGGGCTCCAGCAGCGGTCCGAGTGGCCCAGGATCTTGCACTCGGCCGTACATGCCCACAGACCTAAAGGGAGAGAGAGGAGAAACCTGTTATTACTGCAGCAATAAATCCACATAATTCATAATCCTCAGAGTTATCAGTCACGGGATGATTCAAGGCACTGACAGTCGGAGTCGGGAGGTGATGCTCTACGGCACAACAAAAAAACACGCTTGGGAAGGTTATGTCATTTTGCTAGGGACACTCCTCACGATCCTAACTTTAAGGGAAGCTTTTTGGGGAGGAAAAACCCCCAATACTACAGCACTTCCAGCATCTGCTAATTTGTGCTGGGTGCTCAGTGCAGAGAGGAATCAGCGTCTAGCAGCCTGCTGCAAAGAGACTGGCAGCTTGAGTCACGCAGCATCAGGCTTCCCCCTCCAGCTGCCCTGCCTAATTCCTGTGCCCCGGGGATGGGTCCCTCCGTCCCCCTCCCTGTCCACCCGTCCACGTCCCCGGAAGGGCCAGCTGGGAGCAGGGGCTAAGCCCTTACCATTCTGCATGTGCGTGATGAGATCTTTCTTCAGGGCATCTCCACTGATATCCGAGTCACTGTCATTAAAATCGCTGTCGCCTTTGCCGCTGTCTTTGCCACTGAACTTCTCTGCCTCTCGGCCGGAGATGGTGTTGAACGAGTGCCCCTTCCAAATGGCCACGGGGGGAGCAGGCTCCTTGCCGTAGCTTGGAGCAGCAGCGAAACCCTGCTGGGGTGGGGAGAGGGGATCAAAGGAGAGATGAGAGGGGAAGTAGTGAAGGGTAAATCGACATCAGAACCGCATCTCTGCAATTCACATCCTCTGAGACCCGCCAACCACCCTCTGACCCCCTTCCCCGCGTCAGGATCTTACCTCCCCGCCCGGTCCTCTGAGCCTCTTCTGACCTTCGTAGAGGCAAGTGCTGTCGCTGCCGCTCTCAGCAGTGGAGAGCTCTTCAGCAGCTGGAGAAGGGTCGGGGCTGGTGAAAGAGGTTTTGCTGGGAAAGGTTCGTACCTCAAACACATTCCCCCTCTGGCTGCCCTCCTCCTGACGGCCCTTCTCTAGGTGGGAGATGTCTATCTGCTCCTTCAAGGAAGCGTTGGTTTTGATCTCGTTCCCCTTCTTGCGCCTGTTGCAGGTGGTGGCGATGGTGATTATAGCCACCAGGAGGAGGGTGCAGCTGCCCGCCAGGACAATGATCACGATCAGAGGGATGTCCCACTGCAAAGCCTTTCCTTCCCAGGAGCTGGGCTTGGCTATCTCCTGGATACTGGAAGGAGCAGTGGCGGTCACCAGGAAGTTGACTGTGGCGGTCGTGGCCAGGGGGGGGCTCCCCTTTTCTGTCACAGTGGGATGACCTTGAACAGCTGACCCAGCTCTTCAGAGAGGTCGCCCCTCAGCACAATGTCCCCAGTACTTGGGTTGATGGTGAAAAGGTCCTGCTGGGGCTCTTCCAGGAAGGCAAAGGTGAGCTCGGCATTGGCCCCATCATCTGCATCTCGAGCTTTGATCTGGGCCACCAGGGAGTCACGGGAGGTCTTGCTGGACACGCCGATTTCCACCGTCCCATTGGTGAGCACCGGGTGGATGATGATGGGAGGGTTGTCGTTCTGGTCCACCATCCTCACTTTGACAAGGGTGCTGCTGGAGAGCTGTGGGGAGCCTCCGTCAGTGGCCTGGATCCTCAGGTCCAACTGCTTGAGGATCTCATAGTTGAACGTCCTGAGGGCATAGATGGCCCCGGTGGCGGGGTCCACTGAGACGTAGGTGGAGATGGGGGCCCCCATGACCTGTGTCTCCAGGAGACGGTAGGTGACCTTACCGTTGTGGCCAAGATCGGGGTCGCGGGCCACCACGGTGGTGATGTAGGCGCCTGGGGGGTTGTTCTCTGGCACAGCCACCTCATAGAGGGGCTTGGCGAAGAGTGGCGCATTGTCATTCTCATCGCTCACCCGCACTGTGTACTGGCGGACAGTCTTGAAGGGCGGTGAGCCCAGATCCTCAGCCACCACGGTGAGGTTGTACTCGGGGATGCGCTCACAGCCCAGCGCTGCCGTGGTGACGATCATGTAGCTGTCCTCGTAGGCGCGCTGCAGGGCGAAGTGGTCGTGGCCGCGGAGGCTGCAGCGCACCTGCCCGTTGGCACCTGAGTCACGGTCTGAGGCACTGACGAGGGCCACGAAGCTCTCGCTGGCCGCCGCCTCGCTGACATAGGCCACGCCAGCGGCGCTGGCAGCACCACGGAGGGCGCTGATGCTGATGCGTGGTGCGTTGTCATTGACATCAGCGAGGCGCACGACGACGGTGCAGGTGGCAGCACGGGGGCTGGCGCCGCGGTCCTGGGCACGCACGTCTAGCTCGTAGGTGCGGGTGCGTTCGTAGTCCACGGCAGCCTCCAGCGTGAGGCGGCCTGAGCGCGGGTCAAGGCGGAAGAGCCGCCGTGCCTCGGGAGGCACTTGGGTGCCGGAGGGGGTGGCCGCCCCCGCGTTTGG